GTGATCCCCCTCCAGCTTCAAAACGTTTTCCTTTTGTTCCTGCCAAGGCAAAGAAGTGACTTTAGGCTTCATGCTCACTACTTCCTTTGTCTGGGAAGAAACTGAAGTGTCTCCTCTTTTTACATCTGACTCAACACTGTAGTTCCTCTATATCAGAGCAGACTCTGTAACTAACCGTGGACTTAAACTCCAATGCTTTTTGAAAACTGGGCCCTACTTTGCCAACTCGCATTTAGCAGATATTGGCTGCCTGTTTTCCAAGTGCAGCTGAATTCAGGCCAGCTTTGACCTGCACAGTGTTGTGCTCCCTGGTATCATGACCACCAATGCTTTCACAAACTCCTAAATACACACCAATGAATGGTCCATGCCATGGGACATGGTGAGGACCTCATACCAGACATGTAAACCAGATTTCCACTCCTCTTTTTCCCATTGCAGAAGAGACTCTCTTACAACTGGTAGATTTGTATTTCTCTATACAGTTGTGCTGCATCACTGCAACCTCACTCAGACCTCAGGTAGCTGTATAAGGTCTGGGAGGTTCCTGCTGTGCTTGGAGAGCCACAGACCTGAATCAGGGTCTAACCTCTTGCACAAGGTGTAAAACCAGCACACAAGCTGGCAACAAATGCTCATATACAAAGCTCAGAGAAACTGCCATTGTCCACAATCAACAGCTTACCATTGCTTGAGTCCATCAGGACTTCTCAGCTGCTGAAAGCTAAGCACATGGAGGGAAGCAACAACTGTTCACTTAACAGAAGCACTGCTCAGCTTTAGGTTTTGACCTTGACCACGCCAGACTGGCTAGCTAATCCAGGATAATTACACTGAGGGCCCCCTTCCTGCCTCCTTCCCCCTAAAGAAGGGATAAAGTTTATGAAAAACACCTTTCTCCAAACCAGCAGAAGTATTCACATAATAGTGCATATAAGGCTCTACCTACTGAAAGCAAAATTTACCAAACTAACCAAATGCTGATCTTTCTCAGAAGTTGCCCTTCTTACGTTTTTGCACATTCAAAACTTTTCTCACCAGCCCTTTCTGAAACAAATCTTTAGACTTACACTACTTACTTTTTAGCCAGAAATAAAAAGTGACAAGGGCTGTTTGGTTAACTATCAACTACAACTTTTCACTCGGCAGTAAATCAGTAGAACCTTGGAAGGACCAACAACGGCTTTGCAATTGTGAGGCATACCACAGAAGGACTTTCAATTATGTATATTCCTGCCCAGCACAGGAAGGCTAACAAGAATAGTCCACCTGTTCACTAGTTAATAGTACTTCCTTTCGTACTTAGATATCATTTCCTTTCTGAATTAAATCTGATAATCATCCAAAATCTAAATTAAATTGATATCCTGTCTTGTAGCATGTTTCAAATTACAAACACATGCTGGAATTTGCATATAAATTCAGACCCCATCTCTTCTGGGGATAAGCTTGTAATAAACTACATTTACAGTTCTAAGTGTACCATACTTAAAGGTGCACCAAACATAGAAAGATTGCAGTACAGTGGCACCTACCACTGAAGATGTGCAAAGTGCTTCACAAATATTTGCATGTTTCAGCCTAAAAATCTTTGAGTGGGATTTGAGGGCATAGGAGCACTGAGATGCAGTCACCACCAGGAAAGGAGCAGCTGCAAAATAACAGAGTTGCAGAAGTGGCAGAATTTCGGTGCTCATTTAGGTATGTTGTATGAGGAATCAGAAAGTCAGAATAAATTGTTAGCATTTTTTATGCTCACAAGAAGTGTCACATTGTCTAATGTCCACACATGCTCAGTTCCCAGCAGCAAGATACCCTCTGGATGAGGGAGATGTGTGTGGTGGGTTTTTGTTACAGATTCTTTAATGATGTGCTCATTAAGAAGCTAACCTCAAAAAAGGGAAAATTCTGTATGGCTCAGAGCGAAAGATAACTTGTCTGCACCTCATATTGTGCTGCACACATGCTAGAGTACCACATCACCTCCCACCTTCTGCAGACTAAATTTTAGAAATACAAGACAGAGATATGTAATAGTATCTACACATTCACCGCATACTGACATCTATATGTACCATGCTTTTAAACTGTACCAGAGAAGCTAACAAAGCACACCACTGGAGAAAAGCAGCATTTACCTCTTCTAGTACCTCAGAGTATCTTGGCCTACTTAAAAAAAGAGATTCAGAACCAAACTGTCTGCATAGACTTTTGTCACAGACCTTTTCCTCATAGATTTAAAATGAGAAGTCTCCTTGAATCATGTCCTAAGTGAGCTAGTCAAACAGCTGGGTCTCATTCTTACAGCCTTACACAAAGCCAAAGAAATGCAGAGACAGTCAATGCACCCACTCACCACAGGTTAGTTAATGATGTGTTTCAACCCAAATTAATTAAACCAAGGAAAACCCAGAAATGAGGAGTCTTCAGCGTGTTTCTGAAAGGTGAATAGAAAATTACCTGAATTTGCACCAGGTTTTACATAATGTAGATACAGACATTAGATATAAATAAATTTGTGTGCATCCATACTGACACTGAAGTAGTTTTTAGTGACAAGAATGCAAATTATTTTTTAACAAGGCCTTGAAGAGAAGTAGACCTGGAGGTAAAAATGTGTAGACAAAACAAATCCATGATTTTGCTTAAAAAAATATTTTAAAAATCACAGTTCCCCAGGCTTAGTTCAGCAGAGTTATAGAGGCATGTGCTCTGTAAGGCAAAAGCTTCCAGGCACACAGTTGCAGAAGTCCCTGTTACAAAATAAAGTTTTCTTGCCACTGCTGTGTGCTTACAGTTAGCAGGTGACCTACAAAGGTATTACTTAGGGGACTGGAAAAAGGAGCAAAATTAAGAATTAAGCCACCAATTTCAGACCCAAGGTGGCCTTCCTAACAGCCTACAGGCAGTATTGCCAAACTCCATTTTATCATGCTTTTCAAACTTTCTGAAGCTCTTCTTACACCTCCACTTACATAATCTCAGTTTTCATATTTTTAAAAACCTGTCTTGTACACCAAGTTATCAAGAATATTTGTAGAACTCAGAAGAAAGTGCACAAAAAGCTTAAAAACTGGGAAAGGTCAGTAGTTTAATTTTCCTGTTTAAACCTCATGACACTTTGCACTTGCAGTTTGTGAAACTCCATTCAGTCTGAGACTCCTATCAATTTTTAAAGCATCCCACTGACTTTAAGCATTCTGACACAATACAAACACTAGTTTGCACACTCAAGAGAATTCAGCTTCAAGTTTCCTTCATGGGAAGCCCAAGACAGCTTGACAATTTATTTTGATGAAGAAAACTGTTTATCACTGGTCAGCTGGGTGGAGGATGCGAGTTTTGAGGAAGTGACAGCATCTGGAATATTAATCAAAAGTTAAGTGGCCTGCATTAGACACAGAATGCCAAATATGATAACAATGCATTTGCCAGAATCAGTGCACCTGAACTATGGTTTTAAAAAGGGAATCTTTGATAAACAGCAGTTTCCTAGCGTTATGTACACAGAAATGGAAATACTATTAGCTAGGTGCAAAGATCATCAGAAATTACACTTCTAGACTGTGTAAACTCAAGCCCACAGACATGCACATACACACAGTAGCAAACATCTGCACATAATATCAAATATTTACATAACCAACTGGAGTTAACTGGAATAACTCTTCCCCCACCTGATAACCAGCATTAGCATCATCCATCAATCAGTCATATTGAATTCCTAAATGAGTTCTGAAGCAAGCTCATAGTCAGCTATAATAAAGGGGCTGTATCATAGAAATTGTTATAATTTAATTTGATCTACACTATAAACTGAAAATGGACTACTGTGTGTTGCAATCCCATGAACCTACCCCACAAGTCAGGTTATTGTTTAACTTTACAGTAAAGAAAATTACAGCTTCACATTTATCTACGTCTTCCTTAATGGCAGAGCCCTAGATTATGTTCTCCTTCACTTCCCAGGCAGAGTCAACAGCAGTAGCAACACCTCTGAAAAGCAACTGGGCCCAAGCTCAGAATCTGAGCAGGGACCTGCCAGCTCAAATCCTGCAGCTGGAAAAAAGAGGGCAAATTGCTGTTCTCGTAACCGTGCACATGGGTGCTTGCCCCCCTGCAAAGCGCTCCCTGTTAAATAGACCCTTACTCAGCTGGGAGACTTGTAACTCAATCCAGAGCTCTTGCCATCCATCAGTTCCTCTGGGATATCTGGAATTAGCCCAAGGCAATAAAATGCAGTCACTGTCAGACTTTG